GGCTCTCTGGGGTGCACAGCAGCTGGGTGAGTGTAGGCAGAGAGAAGACACACCACAGTGGGAGCCAGCTAAGAACCTGCCCAAATCCCACCTTAGGCCTGCTAGCTACAGTCTTAAGTTGTACGGCATTCTTCCTCTAAGGTCAAGTCCATCTACTGTCCACCCTGGAATCGTAGCCCTTCTCCCCAGGTCTACTGGTCCAGGTGATTCTGTCTCAGGCTAGATGGCAGCTGTCCCAAGGGAAGGCCTTCTGGCTTAATGCAAAGGTAGAGGGATGCCCTCAAAACAAATCTGAATCCCAGCACTTGGAAAGCAGGGGATTGCTTGTAGTCCAGGAGTAGAGAGCACGCATAAGGCTGGGTTCAAGTCCCAGCTCCAGAGAAGCAAGAGGCAGAGGCAGGGACCCAGGAGTTCACAGTCTGCTGGGCTCCATATGCTGAGCTAGAAGACCCTGCCTGGTTTAACAAGAAAAAAGAAGCGATGGTGCATGACTTCGACCCTAGCACTTAGGAAGGTTGACTTCAAGACCAACCTGGGCTGCATGACAAGATCTTGTTTCAGAAAAAGGACCCACACACTGCTGGGCTCTCGCCTCTGTTCCCATATCACCACCACCCCACAGTCCCTTCCTCTACAGCTTTTATACCACCCTACATGGTTCTTTCTGTCTCCCTTGCTGCAAGTCTCCTGGGAGAGGACACTGTGGAGCTAGGGCCCCTGATCTGACACAAAGGGAGGGTCAGAATCACTCTGCAGACTCTCAGCCTGTTCCCAGCTGACACCAAGTCTACAGGAGGGCTGGGGGAAGGGAGCAAGGCACCCTCCCAAGGGATGCCTCAATTCCTGAGCCAGGATCTGGGGGCCAGAGGCCTCCTGGTGGACCTCCGTGCCATGGACACATCTCTGGGGCTAACTGAGCTATGGACCCTCAGCCTCAGGCTTCAGAAGCGCTACCTTGGGCACCTGGCAATAACTGAACTCTGAGAGGACCCAAGAGCACCCGAGGCTAGCTTCTTGTCCCTGCAGACAAACAACAGGTGCAGCTGCACAGGCAGCACACCCTCTGGGAGGGTCAGACAGACAGCCCACGCCTGCCTCCAGACAGGCTGCCAAACAGGAAGTGATGACGGGGGAAGCAAGCAGGGCCACCCCCAAGATAACCCACAGGTGGTGGGGTGAGCATGCTCACACCTGCTGCTCTGGGCCTGGCTTAGTGCCTACAGTACTTCCAACTCCTCGCTGCCCCACCCCTAGAGAGGCCTCCTGAACCAGAGTGTGCGACACACTTGCCCCTCCTACAGCCTCACACCCGCCTCACCTTTCACTGCCCTCAGTGAAATTAGGGCAAATCCCTCTGAAGGGCCGGGCCAATCCCTTCCTCCAACCTCCCCTCATTGGCTGGCTATACCGTCTGTGCAGGAAAGAGGCTGGCACAGTGTGGGACTCTATGGGGACCCAGACACTATGGCACTCAGTGTGGGACTCTATGGGAACCCAGACACTATGGCACTCACAATGTGAGACCCTATGGGGACCCAGACACTATGGTGCTCATTTACACCGTAACACATGCGGCTCAACTGGCCAGTCAGATAACACAGCACTGTTCATTCCTGAGGAGCACCCCCAGTAGCACCTTGTCTAACTGCAGTGGTCCTGGCCACACTGGGCACTGGGTGGGGATGTCTGTCTCACCACCCCCTCCCCCCCCACCTCTAGTCCACAGGTCTGGTGACATGAAATCAGGACAAACATCACGGGTACCAGGTTCATACCACAGAAAACACAGTCTCTAAAATGAAGACTATGGGAAAGAAAACCCAAGCCAGAGAGAGGATGCCCAATTGTTGTTGGTCTCGGGGACAAGGGAGGTGCTGGGAAGAGAGGGATGGGCCTGGGTGGTCCTAAGGAGAAGGCAGGCCTGCAGTCTATGTGGCCCCAAGCTTAGGCCTATTGTGGGATCATCCAGGACAAACCCTAAGGCTCTCCATGGCCTTAGAATCAACACACTCCACACACCTTACTCAGTCAGTCCTTAACGTGGCCCTGTCACTAATGCTGCTGTCCGGAGGTGCAGCCTGACACCCAGCAGGTTTGGGACTCTGGCTTGACCTCAGCCCCTAGGGCCTGGCCTGGCCCTATTTTGGGGAGAAAGGATCAGAGTGTCTGGGCATCTTTCCACAGCAAGGTTCCCCTTAAGATCAGGGAGAACAGCCTGCTGAAGCAACAGCCCTTCAAATATAGCTCAGGAGAGGCTCCAAGGGCTGCCAGGCCAGAGACACACCTCAGCTCTCCATCAGCTGTGGGTTGAGTGTGGGCAGACACCCTTGACCCTGGGAGGCCCTGACAAACATAACCAGGGTGGGGTAATCTCAGCCCTCCCCTCCCATCTACACTGCTGACTGTGTCCCAGGGCTGGAAAAGACCCCATTGCTGGAAGGTCCTGGGCCACTTATCCCCAGCAGGGATTACCACACAAGCCTGAAGGCTGGCAAAAACTATTGCAATGGCTGAGGAAGGCTTCACCAGACACCAAGCCTTGTCCCACAGATTCGGTTACATGACGGACAGGCACAGGCTGTACAGCCAGCAAGGCTGTACAAGGCCCGGTCAACAAGCAGGCATGGGGGCAAGCAGATGGGGACCCAGGTAAACAGCAAAGCATCGTGTTCTCAAGAGCTTTCATAAGCTGACGAATAGTTCTGACCAGACAGGTGAGGACCCCAACAGTGGTTTGGCTCATAGGCGGGTTGTGGGGGTCTTAAATGTCAAGGGTCCAGAAGCCCTAGGAAAAAGTACAGTCACACAGGCGCCTGCAGGCTCTGAGCTGCCAGGGTTCCAGCTCCCACCAGGCCCTCAGCCAGGGTAGCCCAAGGCTGACTGACAAAACCAACCGCTGAGTCAGGCCCAGCCAGGCCAGCCTGATTGTTTGCAAAAACAAAGGAGCCGCTGACAGCCCAATTCTGCCTCCCAGCTGGGAGGGCAGGGCACTTATAGCAATGGCCCAGGCAGCAAGGCCTGGTTACACACGGGGTCTGTCTTTGTCTTTGTCTCTGTCTCTGTCTCTCTCTCTCTCTCTCTCTCTCTCTCACACACACACACACACACACACACACACACACACGGTTTGGTAAGGGCAAGAAGTGGGATGTTCCTCCTCAAAGGAACACAAGGACCAATGGCACTGCAGGTGGGCCAGTCCCTCTGCCCACCTGTCCATTTGGGTCTATACTCCTTGGCACCCTCCAAACACTTTGTAGTCAAGGTGGTAGACGACCAGTCTGCTAATCTAGTTACAAACTATTGTGGCCTGACGCCAGATACCCCCGAGTATCAGGGCTCCCAGAACATGCGCATCCCCAAAGACAGCAAGCGTGGCCCTGAGTTTACAGGTCCACACCTCACCCCCTGGGTAAGTCACTAGCCATCTATGAGGACAGGAGGAGGGCCTTTTCCAGAGACTAGGGCATGCTGTCTCTAAGTAGTAGTGTCCCCATTTTCCAGATGAGGAAAGGCAACCAAAGGGGGGACAGTCGGAGAGTAACAGAGGCTGTGAACCTAGCTGAGGGTCGCAGAGGCTGGGCAGGCACTAGTGACTGTGAGGCAGTTATGTGTCGGAGGCATGGGAACCCCTGTCCCAGTGTAAGCATCTCTCATCTCAGCCCAGCATCAGCCTGAAACCCAGGACCCAGGAGTACAGTAAGCTACCAGAGAGAGGGGCACCCTCCTCACATAGCCGGCAGGGGAGAAGCTACCGCACAGATACCAAGGCTACAATGTTCCCAAACCTCTTCCAGACGGCCTAGAACACATAGGGAACAGATCCCAGGCCAAAAAAAGTGATCTGGCACTATCTGCCATGGTAGCACCCAAAGTACGTCCCCAGGAGACCAGTGACAACACACGAGAAAACGCAGGCTGAGGCCCAGAACACAGCTCCCCACAGATATGCCCCTGTGTGGCTCACACCAATCCCCAAGGAGAGTTGTGGAGAATCCCAGTGGCATCCCACAGAACAAGCACACACTTAGAGCATGCAGCACTGTTTCCAGCCACCTGACCCACTATGCTGGCCAAACTCAGCTCTCACCCCAACATACACCCACTCCACTCCACCGTTCAGCTCCAACCCCAAAAGACACCCCACCCTACCTCCCAGCTCCCGCCCCGACAAACCCCACTCTACCCCACCCACCAAGCTGAGACACAAAACCTGGCAGTAAGGATTTGGCAAGCTTGCCAGTGCAAAGCGTGTGTGTGTGTGTGTGTGTGTGTGTGTGTGTGAGAGAGAGAGAGAGAGAGAGAGAGAGAGAGAGAGAGAGAGAGAGAGAGAGAGAGAGATCCCACCCACCTGGCTCATTCACAGCCAGTCTACACCAGACAAACAGCTGATTGTGGCCAAACCGAGTGGCAGGGTCTAACGCTTGTGTCCCTCAAGCGTGTGAGCCCTTCCCCAAGCAGCTGCCAAGCCTACTGCTCTTTTTAGTATGGGAGGAGGTGGGACACGGAACAAGCAACTCACACAAAAAGCCAACTAGTGACAGTCACCTACTATGCCATTCACAAACATGAACCCTCACCGGGTACAGTCCCACAGAAGCTACTTCCATGGCACTGGTCCACATCAGAGAGCACCTCAGGAAGAGCCCGGGTCACCAGATCCATTCAGCCTTGGCATACACTCTAGGAGGGCTGCCTGCACTGGGGACGGACTGAGCCCCCACATTCACTGCACAGGTGAGGAAGTGAGGCACAGATGGCCACGTGACACCTGGCCGAGGAGGTGTCACATAGTTGGGGCAAGGAATGCACCAGGCTTGAAGGCGGGTGCTCCCCTTTGAGTTAGAGAAACGCAGTTGGTCTTATCTCTTCCTCCACACTTCCAAAACACAATCCAGTTTCTGAAAACAGCCATTTCCCCAGCCTTGCAGATCTGAGACAGAAGCTCACAGCTGTCCCACCTCAAGGCCCTCCCACCCACACCAGCTATATCCACTCACCCATAGGTGCGCTGGATCAAGGTGGGGTGTAGCTGCTGTACACCGACGGCAAAACCTAAAACAAGAGGAGAGTTAGGAACAGGATACTATATGGGTAAGGTCCCAGGGCCACACACAGGGAGGCAGAGTCCTGCGTGCCACACTCCCCTAGTCACCAAGGACAGTAAGCTTCCTTCTCCCAACCCAGCCACCACCTCTGTCTCTGCTAGTGAACTCTCAAAACATCCAAAGCAGAGAAGTCTACAGGTGGCAGCGGCTTCTCTGGGTGACTCCTAATCTCCAGCCCCGTCAGCAACTGACTTCTTCCCTTCCCACGGGTAGGGCAGACATTTGAGAGTCGGTATCCCTGGGACTATACACTGCTGAGAAAAGAAGAGCAAGCTTCCAAGCTAGGGGTGGCTGCCCTAGGCTGGCTCTGCAGGGCACATGACCGCTGGCGGCCACTCTGGGACAAAGGGGGAGCGAGGGCAGTGTATTCCATCAGACAGATAGCAAGGCTGAATATAGAAACAAGAAGGGCTGGAAAGAAAGTTCAAACGCTCACCAGTCTGCAGGCTCCTAGGTTTGGCACCCAGGTAGGCCAAGTTCACATTGGCCTTGCGGCCATCGATGATAGGGTTAGGGTCTTTGCAAGCCCTATCAGCTGCTGCCCGATCCGCCATGGTCACCTGCGGGAACACGGAGGGTCAGGGGCTTCGGTGGCTGGCTGAGGAAAGCAGGACGGAGGGGAAGAGGGTCCTGCCCTGGCATCAGGCCATCCCTGGGTCTTCCCTCCCAGGAGCAGGAGGATATTTCTTATTCAGAACCCTTGAGCCTGTCTTCTCTGCCTCCAGGACTGCAGCTCCTTCCCCTAAGTTCAAGTGCTGGGAAACGGAGCCTTCAAGGACAGCGATAATCCCCTGGGAGGTGGAGCAAAGAGATCCCCTAGGGGAGCCCCCTCCCCCCCAGGCTGTTCTGCCCGGGAGTAAGTACCGTTAACTTTCTCAGAGGAGAAGTTTGGGGACACTAGAGTGGAAGGAAGTGGGAAACCGTCTTCAAGTCGCTAGTGTTAAAGCTGACGCTTATTTGGGGAGGCTGGAAAGTGTGTGGGGGGAAGGGCCGACGGCCCCGGGAAGCCCCGGAGTCCCGGCTGCGCGCGGCGGGGTCTGGGAGGCGGTGGGGGAGGGGCGGCGGCAGGTGCGCGCGCCGCGGGCACTCACGAAGCCGTAGCCGCGGGACTTGCCGGTCTGGCGGTCGGTGATGACCACGGCCTCCTCGATGTCTCCGAAGCCCTCGAAGTACTTTCTGAGCGATGCGTCGGTGGTGTGGTAAGGCAGGCCGCCCACGAAGATCTTGGTGAACGTGGTGTCCTTCTGCGAGCCGTGCATGGCGCTGGGGGCGGCGGACGGCCGCGGGAACACGTTTGGGGCGCACGTGGGCTGCAGCAGCATGGGGGCCGCCGCTACCGAGCCGGCCGACGCATGCGGGGGCGTCGCAGGCCGAATCCGAGTCTCCCACGCTGTCCGGGCCAGTCGTCGGTCAGCCGCGGTGCTCCTACTCTGCGCCCCACGGGCTGCCGGCCGCCTTTGTAGCCGGCCACGCCCAGCAGCCACGCCCCTTATTTCAGACACGCCCTCCCAATCGCGGGGGGCGCCGGGAAATGTAGTTCTAGACACGCCCCCACGTGCCTGGAAGCTCCTGTGTTCGCAGGTATCAATCACAACTGGTCTCGCCGGGCGCAAGGTCCGGTAGCTTCTATGGACTGCTCTATTCAGTGGTTTACGCCGAAGAGACTAGGGGTGCAACGTACTTTTTAAAAGGTCCGAAGTAGTGGCTCAGCTGGTCATGTGCGAAACCTTACGTTTGATCTCAGCATCACATAAACCTGGCTGAGGGCACACACCTGTAAATCCAGCACTCAGGAAGGGGAGGAAGGAGGGCTAAGAGTTCAAGGCCACCCTTTGTAGTAAGTTTGAGATCAGCTGGGTTAAATGAGACTATCTCAAAAAAAAAAAAAAGTAAATGTAAGGTAGTGTATTTTGCCGTATATACAGGCAAAATTCGCATCATAGATACTTTTGGAGACCTGGGGTGTCCGGCACTTTATGCTGGGCCTTCAAGAGAAGCATACCCCTGGGACCCTCGGGCTTCTGTGGAAACTAGGGCTAATTCACAATGACTGTATCTTTAACAGCCTAATAGAGGCTAAAAACCCCAGGCCACGGCGGGAGAACAGAGGCGGCTGGGTTTCTTTATCACCAGCTTGGGGACTCTGGGGCCACCCCTTAGCCAGAAAACAAGCAGCGAGCACAGCAAGTCATGTGTGGAAAGGGGGCCAAGGCTGGGACAAGACGCCAGCCTGCAGAACTCTTCTGGCCCAGCTCAAATGCAAACGTGGGGCCCCTTGTTGAAGAGACGTAAATCTCACACTCGTTTTTAATGCTCAGGAGGTGGAGTTGAGAGGATTACAGGCTCATCCCCTGCTACACGGAAGGCCAGAAGCCAGCCTGTGAGACATAAACTCGTATCTAAAAAAGAAATCAGGAATTTCAGTCCAGAAGCAGGCTGGATGCCTTAGCGGCTGGGCCACGAAGCAGCCCTCATCCAGCGTCCCCCAAGTCCTCATCTCTGGCTCCATCACAGTGGAACCTGAGGACCTGCAACTTTTAGTGGGGTTACAACTGGCCCAGCCCATGGTCAAGGGGGACAGAGAGTCAGATAGCCTCCTGGTAAGCTCAGCCCACCCGGGGCTTGCACAGTTGGCTCCTTGCCTGTGAAGCCAGGCGCCTTCACACAGAGCAGACCCTCTCCCCGCCCCCCAATGCCTGAGAGCCTGCTGGGGTTACCTCCTCGCAGCCTTCTTCCCACCTTTGCCCTCCTGGCTTCACATCTCCTTTGCTGTTCGGGTTGTTTTCCCCAAACACTAACCAGCCTGGCCTCCTCCCGGTCTAAGGGTCTTCTGACGCTGCTGAGTGAGCTCCCTGACAGCAGGGCTCTTGCGGGTTTCCCTCAAACTGTAGGGCTTGGCAAGGGAAGCCGAGACTGCCTTGGGCAATGTCTGTTGAGCGAACCCTTGGTGGGTTGTAAAGAGGGCTCCTGACCAAAAGACCCCTTAAGAAGCTTCTTTTGAAAACCAGTTAAAGTATGTTCTTGGCATCCCTTGAGGGCGGAGACTGTCTGGCCCCGAAGTCTTAGCCACCTGGGTGCCTTCCTGGGGTCTCAGTTCCCCCTGGGTGGCACACTGCTGCTGGTGGCCAGGACGGTTGGCTTCAGGGCTTGCCGCCTACAAGTCCCAGCGCCGCCCCTGCCACCGACCAGCCCCGCCCCTCCGCTTCCCGAGGGCCCGCCCCAAGAAGCGCTGGGCGGACACTGTAGGCACGTGCAGCTGCCTGGGCAGGAGGAGGGGGAGGGGATCACAGAACGTGCGAGAGCACCGCGCGGGCGTGACCCTCAGGAGCTGCCTGAGCCTCCTAGTCTGAAACTCTGGCTGTCGGAGGACGGTCCCTGCACCCAACTCCTCCTGGCTCTTTGGATTTCTGAATCATCTGCCGTTGCACCTGTTCAGGGGCTCCACGTCTCACCGTCTGCTGCGCGTCGATTTGCCTTGCTCTGAGTACGTGTGCCCTAACGGCTGCGACTCTGGGCTGGGGATGCCATTCGCCACTCTCTCACCCTCGAAGCAGGCAGCTGCAGCGAGTGAATGGTTTTGCATAGTAGGCATCTCCCTTAGACACAGTTGCCCAGGCGGGCACTGAGTGGCGTACAAAGGCAGGAAGGACCTAGCGCGGGCAGTGACATCACGTGGGGAGTAGGGAACAGTGGAGTCCAAAGGCCCAGACGTGACAGCTGCAGCTACTGTTAATTAATGAATCCTCCCCTTCCGCTGCCTCTCACACAGGGTCTCATAATGCAGCCCAGGCCAACCTCTAACTTTTTTTTTGTTTTGTTTTGTTTTTGTTTTTCGAGACAGGGTTTCTTTGTGGCTTTGGAGCCTGTCCTGGCACTAGCTCTGTAGACCAGGCTGGTCTCGAACTCACAGAGATCCGCCTGCCTCTGCCTCCCGAGTGCTGGGATTAAAGGCGTGCGCCACCATCGTCCGGCATCCAACCTATAACTTTTATCCTCCTGCCTCAGCCTTCCAAGTCCTGGAATTACAAGCATTGGATGGCCATGCTTGACTCAGGGGTATGTTTTGAGGGCTGGCAATGGCCTTATGCATCACCAATCATGAAGTTCATTTGACCTTTGTGGTGCCTGCTAAGGCCCTCACTGGGGATTCCCCTAGATTAGGTGACTTAAAGAAGCAGCCATTCATGGGCACTTCACCGTTATCCATAAGCCTGATCCTCAGCTGGAGTGAACTGAGGCTTCTGAGCCAAGCCAATTCCAAGACCCCATGTCACTATAACCACCCCCAAATCTTATTCAGAAGAGGCCCTGGTCCCCTGCTCTGTGGGCTGAAAAGGTGGGATCGTCCCAGTGTTGACATGGTCCAGGACTACACAGCCAGACTAGGCAGAGTCAGGATTAGGACTCAGGAGCAGGGGAACTTCCCCCTGACACCTCATCCTCTGGGCTGGGGTGAGGTGCTGTTGGCCATAACCCAGCTAGTCTGTAACCTAGCTAATCAACCATCAGTTGATTAAAGTTTATCTAAACCGGTGTCTGTGGATGGGCCAGCAAGCACCTGAGAAGCTCAGAGTTGAGCAGGCTTCAGGCTTGGGCTGCCCCATTACCCAGCTGGCAAGGCCAGTTGTCAGCCTTGGTGGTGTAGACACAGACAGGCTGCCTGGCTGGCCCTGAGAAGGACACGGGGTGGGACTGGGGCTGGTCAGTCCTCAGTAACCCTCCTGCCAGCAGGGATAATTATAACTCTCACACGGTCAGCAGCTCCGGAGGCGGAGCCCCTGGCACAAGCCTGAAACCGACATCAGATCTTAGGACCCTGTGATGCTGTCACCGCTGGCTCCTGCGTGGTGGAGAATCCCCAGTCTCAGTGGGGGAAATACTGCCCCAGGAGCCAGCAAAGGCTAGCAAGGTGCCAGAGATCTAGCGAGGGGTCCAAGTGACCAGCGACCACACTACAAGGACGCAAGAGGCAGCATCTTGGAGCTAGTCAGTTTTCTGAAGACCTTTCTGGACCGAGGGCTCAGTACGGAGACTCAGGGAGGTAAAGGTGCTTGTGCTAAAAGCCTAGAGACCTGGGTTCAATCCCCAGGACCCATATAAAGATGGAAGGAAAGAACTGCCCCCCCCCCCCCGAAGTTGTTCTCTGACCTGTGCACACACACACGCATACACGCACACAGAGGCATGAAAGCACACTCTACTGCCACCACCACCACCAAACAACAAAACAAAACAAACAAACAATGCACTCACTGCAGCAGAGACAGCTGGATGTGAACCTCTGCTGCTCTTCAGGCTGGACAGGGCATCAGACACGACAGCAGGGAATACGGAAACCTGTTGTGAAACCCGTTTAACTCTGGAGCCCTGGGTGACTGATAGATAACACCTTAGCCCACAATCGTTCCCCCCTCCCACTAAGACAGGAGAGTGTGGAAGAAAGCAGTTGCTTTTCCACCCGCCTTGTCCTCATCTGAGCTAGGGAGTCCCAGTGGAAGTCTGTGGGGCCTCTGTGCAGCTTTCCTCTTCCTGACGGATGAGATCAAGTACTAGGCAATACTAGACATTGGCAACCATTTCTTCTTTTTTTTCATACATTTTTGTTCAGGCGGGATTTCGTGTAGCCCAGGCTATCCTCAACTTTGCTATGTAGCCAAGGATGACCTTAACTCACCCATCCTCTTACTGACTACTAGGATTGCAGGAATGCACCGCCATGCTTGATTTATGGGGTGTTGGGGAACAAGCCCTGGGCTCTCTGCACAAAGGGTAAACATTCTGTCAACTGAACTATTCGTCAGTCCAACCTTAGCATCTTTCTGTCCTGAGCATGTGTGAGCTGTCTGGAAGACATCTTGTGAGCGTGAGGCAGAGTCAGAGAGATTCACAATACTACTGACAGAACTAAACACAGGATGTGTGGGGATGCCTGGAGAGGTCCTTTATAGTCACAGCCTGCTAGGGGATGGGAGTGTACCTGGGGCACCCGAGGTGGAGGCCAGGGCACCCAGGGAGGCCTGGCTCCTGCTCTTCTCCCCACAACTCTTCGGCTGCTATGGTACATGGGATCATCCAGGACTTTGATCTCAGCCCCGTTTCTTGTACACTCAAGCCTTGAATGACTGGTTGGTTTTTATTTATTTTTTTTTAAGACAGGGTTTCTCTGTGTTGTCTTAGAACTTCCTCTGTTGACTAGGCTGGCCTCAAACTCAGAGATCCACCAGCCTCTGCCTCCTGAGTGCTGTGATTAAAGGTACAGACCACCACAACCCAGCTTTTATTTTTTTCTTGCGTAGGGCGCAAAGGTGTCTTTTGCACTGGGCTTGGGAGGTAGGCGTGAAGGTGCACAAGTGTGTGCCCTGAGTGATCAGGCTCCCTGCAGGCAGGTGGAAAAGGTAACATAGGTTCCTGAGGATTCGAGTTAGAATAGCCCTAGCTGCACACCA